AACCTTTCTGATTCAGACCTTGTTTTGTGTTTTTGAGGCGTTTCTCACAATTAATTTTATCTTTCAAATAGAGGACATTTAATTTAGGGTGGAGGAAATATATTTGATAAATGTATCGCTTTGGACTTTTTAAATAAACAAGATTTTAACTTACCGACTCAAATTAACTACCAAGTTCCAATAGCCATACCAATTATGCGATGTTCTTTAACCACCTTTGTATGACATGGTTTTGCACCTCACAAAGATATGTAGAGAGTGTAGGACACTCAGTGTATATTTTGCACACTTCGCATATGTGCAGAACGGGCAAATGTATTGGAAGCTCCAAGTTATATTAAAATGTAGAAATTTGTGCATTACTAGCGCCAGTCAAACACACACCCATTTGGCAAAATATGGGCCTGCATTCAGTTGTGTATAACTGCTATTATCTTCGCATCTTACCACATCTAGATGGGTGGGATTTTGGATGGTGGGGCAGTTGAGATTAACAGAATGATCATAGGTGGATTAACAGACTTACCCTATACTCATACTCCAAATGCAACGGGTTACCCCAATATCAGGGCTTGGACTTGCCACGATCGAATGCTACCTTGCCCCATTAGGAATTAGACAATTTCATTCTCATTTCAAGCGATGACTCCAGAACTAGAATATATTTGTTGGTTCCCAAGTAAGGCGCGCAAATAAGCTACGTAACCCATGTAGAGCGATTTTCGCCCCAACCAATCCTGTAGAATTTGGCATGCACGTGGTTTTCCCAGCCCCACTCGACTTTGGCCAAGTCAATTTTCAACACCTCAGCGATTGCTTTGCAATATGGGGATTACAATTGGGTCCACAAATAGCACCGCAATGGTGCTTAACATTGCAGCTAACATGGCTTTGGAGCAAATCAAATATTGTGCGCAATCCACTCGACTGATGTTCCGCACTATCACATTCGATTATAGTCAAGTAAAATTTTCCGAGGTCTTAACAAAATCTTCAAGAACAACATATCATGTTGATTCAAAAAGAAAATCACAGCTTGGGTTTTCAAACATTCTTGACAATGCCGAGATAATGTCATTATTGCCACCATGGAATTCTGCATAACAAGGCATAGAGGTTACTGTTACCTTGCCGTTTTGCCCAAGAAAAGTGGTGTTTACTATTTTTCCATTGAGTCTAGTGCGCAACACATGATTATCAAAATCCATCATTTATTAATTTTCAAGAATATTTGATGAATTTAATGCATTGAAAGAAGTGTTTTTGCCAGTTGGTGGGCTGCGAGAGAAGTCAAGAAGTGCTTTTACGCTGCCGTCTTGAAAACGCTCGACTCGTTTTGACATATGTCATCATATTAGGCACAGCAGCAAAATAGAAATTTTCACCAATGATCGCCAAATGGCGAAAATACATTTTCTATGTATTGTTGACAACAAACACTTCCCAGTAATTAGGAATTCATGTATTCTGGATTTTGGACGTGCTGTGCGTTAGCTTCAAATGAATAATCACTCACATCGCTTGATAGGGCAAAATAAGAAAATGACGGCTATCTCCTCGCTTTGTTGTGCAAAACTACGTGATGACAGTGACAGAGAAATGCACTTTCTCCTTTCGGAATCTGGTAAAACAATATATAAAGAGGCCACATATGTATCACGCACTTTAGTTTACATTAAAATTGGACCAGAGCACCTATTATGCGTCAATCAATGCTATCGGAAAATCATAGAAAAACAAATGAGGTTTCTGGGTTGCTTCAAAGATGACAAAACTCCCGTCCAGAATTCGAACCTCCCCATCCTATGACTAAGCCTGCCGAAATGCAGTTCCTTGATCCAGGAAGCCCCTGCACACGAGTGACGCTGTTTCCTGCAACCTTTGTGATACGAGGAGGATAGATCTGCCTCCAGCGTCCAGAATTCAGCCCAAGGACCGACATCTTCTGCGCTTGACAATCGGCAGGAATGGCAATCCAAGCCTGCACCTCTCCACAAGTGATTGCCGGAAATCTCCGCCATCCTCCCCGGCGACGCCGCGACATAGTTGGGTTCCGCTATTGACAGTAGGTCTCCTGGCGTCTTGAGACTACCCGTGACATTGCTGCATGTGTCAAAAGATCTCTTTTGGGCACGGACGTCAAAGCAATGGCCCGTTTGGTGTAAGGAACATCTACACGCAAACAATGTCGATGTATTGATATCAACACCGCCAAACACGACGATGGCCATCGCGATGGCGAGAATTGATGCTTAATTGGAGACCCTAAATGCCTCTGTTGTGGTGTTCTTGTGTCTTTTTGAGGGCACTGTCAAAACCCCTTGCATCCACAACTTTCACAGGAGCGTGGATTGTTCTCGAAATTCTCACTTTGGCATGTGCATTGGCGCAGCCAATTCCAGCCAACTTTTGGCCTACTGTGCAACTGGGTGACAACCACTTCTTCCAAATTTTTGGGGCAGTGTTAACACTTGCAGCCACTTCGCCCATTGTGGCAACTGCCTTCGAAAACGCCATGGTTGTGAAGTTCGCCAAGTTCTGGGTTTCGAATCAGAAGCAGAAATGCTCGTTGGCTCATCAGAGCAGGGTCGCGATTGACCATTCAGCGGCAGCGACCTTGGTTCCATGCTATCCCTTCTTTGGGAAGAAACGTTCCGACATCCGGCTAGATGGCCAGCAACAGATATCCATCCTGCGCTGCGCATCGCCAGTCGCAAGGCGACCCGGCAGGCGGCTGCCACGTACTCGTTTTGGGGACTGATCGAACACAGCGAAACCCCGAGGATTATCGAGCACTTGACCGATGTCATAAGGACCCAAAGTGGGGCAGCGTGGCGGGCACTCAGTCGTTCTCTACATGTATTAGTCCCCACTTAGTAAACTCGCGTATCGTGCTTTGGGCCAATTTTCAAGACAAAAATAGGCCGAAAAGTGGGTGGGACAAATGCGGCCTCTCAAACGAATTGTCTCGTTTGGTTCGGGAAGCAGGGTGTCTATCATCTTCTAAGTGTTCAGCGACATTGATATTTGTGTTATGTAAAAATGAATAATGACGATGATGTCTACCATCTTCCTGAGTTCTGCGGCGTGGTTTGCAGTGTACTGTGCGGAATGTGCCCCGATCGATGCCTGGCCAACTGCATAATCCATTTCACAATGTCAACTTTCGGAATTGCAGCAACGCATCCGTTTTCGTTCCGTACTCGTCTGGGATTGCCCAGGTATGCTGGGGTACATAGGCACTCGGAGCCATCTACCAGGAACGGTTTACTTGGCAATCAGTTCTGCGGAGTGTTCCTAATCGACGCCCCGCAGCCCCCAGGACTTGGCTGCACCCACGTTCATCATCATTATGAGGTTTACATAACGAGGCGAGGACGTAGTCAAATACTCTATTGGTACACAATCGATGTAATACTCTACCCACGTCTCCAGAATCAGAACATCGCATTCTTGTTGAGCACTTAAGCATAGTTGTGCTTTACGAAACAGAACGCTCGCCTACGGACTGACTAATATAGGACAGCGCACAGGGTAAACAAAAGACTGTGTGTGCGCAACGCGCGCTGGCGCCTGGACTGGAAACATGGAAAAAGGGTGCATCACATTGGCCGATCTTCTCTGATGTCGCAATTGCGTACATTCACGTGTGCCGCACCGCTGAGTTTTTCCCACCATGCACCTTTGTAAGGTACACTCGTGAGCAAATGCGTGAGGTACACTCAGCAATACACGGCCGCGGCCCAAATCCTCGAGGCTCGAACCGGTGCCGCGCATTTATTTGGAAGCTATTCCCCTTGCCCAGGGTAAAGCGAACAGCGTCCAAAGGGTGTGCAAGCCAGTGCGATGGGGCAAGCAGACCAGGATCCAAAAACGATGTCAATCCTTGCTCAGGCGGATTGCGCAGCGTCGCAGTGAGACGCGCCCTGTTGACTGGGCCGTTCTCGGCGCGCCTGATCGACGCGATGCCCTCCCACTCACTCATATCCACGCGATCCGACACATATTCCCCATTTCACCAACCTCACGGAGAATCTCCCTGCCATGACCGCGCCACGGGCCCGAGCTCAATCGCGGACAGCAGAACGTTACCACGCCCGTGTGGCAACGGGCACGCCCATCTCGCCTTGATTGTCGCCTGCACGTAGATACTCCGTTGACCGCATGTTCGATGTGCGCCGATTGGCCTCGCATCTCGGCCGTCACTTTTCAAAATCTCGGCCACCACGCGGGCGCGGAGTGACGGTGTGACGGTCAAGCAAGTGACAGATGTGACGGTGGCCAACCGGCGCCGTCTGGTCTTAGCCTGATGTGCGCGAGCATGTGCATGATGCGCCCGCCGTCGACACGTGCAAAACAACAACCCCCGTCCTGTCATAACACGTCGTTGATGTGTCCGCCGCGCACCACGGGGCCCGACAGGGCGACGGCCGCCGACGAGCGCGGTACTGTCACGGGCTGCAGTAATGCAAGTAGGGCTCCGGTGCGTTTACGGCCTGCCGGTACCCATCACCCCTTTACAAGCGGCCACAGCCCCCCCCCAGTGGCCCAGCCCCTCAGCGCTGGCAGGCGGCCGTCAGGGGGAATAAGGGCCCAGATGGCAGGTCGCCGTCCTTGGGCACCCTGACGTCGCCGCCCGGGAGCCCGCTTTTCGTCGCTGTTGGCGCACATCGGTCCGGCGCGTGCACTGTGGTGTACCGAGGGCTCCGGTACACGAAGCAGTCGTCGGGGACGGGGTGCGACCTGGCTGCGGGGCTACTGCCCGCGCCACGGTTTGAGGCCGCGTCCTGGGAGCCGCGGAGTTGCGCATTCGGGCGGATCCGTGCTTGGGAGGCGCGCGAGAGTGCGGAGATCATTGTCAGTCATCGGCGGTGGGGCGCATTGGCATTGATCGAGAGCGGAGGCGGGACGCCCGGGATTTGCGCCTCGGCCGGGGGAAGGAGGATTGGCGGCGGGCGCCTGCGCATGCTTCGGATCGGGGCGCTGGGACGGCGGCGGTGATGTCCGTGCCGGACCTGTGCATGGCGCAGGACATGGGCGGCGAGGCTGACGCCCCCATGACTGTTTTCGGTGGTACGCTGAAGGGGGACGGCTGCTCCCTGTCCCTGTGGCGCAGCCTGGAGCGCGCATCCGGGCGGGACCGGCCCCTGCCACTGGAGATTTCGGTAAACGCATGGCTGTCCGAAGCTCCGAGGGGTTCCGCGACATCGCTGTCTGGGCAGTCGCGCTCGGCGGCGTCGGCCGACGGCCGCGCGACGACACCGTCCTCCAAACGCGGCCGCTCGCTCTCCCGCTCCCTGGCCTCGACGAGCTTTTCGGGGAAAGTCAGCGTGCTGAGCTCCGTGCCCACGGTTGTCGCCCTGAACAACTGTTTCGTGATGGACTTCGACCTGCCCTGGACGCCCGGCAGCAGGGCGTCGGCGAATGGCTCCGCCTCCAACCCGTTCTTCCGCTCGGGCTCCCCGCTAGGCGCCCTGCCGTCCGCGGAGCTAGACCTGGATGCCTACAGGGCCATCGACTTCAACAGCGTTTCCGTCTCCAACGGTGGGCACTCGTGCTCCAACGACGCTCCCAAGGTGCTCAACGACGACCCCGCTTCGCGGTCGAAGGCCGGCGCCTGTGGCCAGGACGCCCAAAAGACGGCTGCCAAGCTGCCGGCGCCGATCGCCACCAAGCCCGAGATGAAGCAATCCAACGATTCCGCCAAGTCGAGAGGCGTCAGCCCCGGCGCTGTTTGTCCTTCCATCGACGTGCCCAGGCCGAGGAACAGTCCGGTGAAGGCGCTGCTGTCGCTGGTGACGATGTGCTGCAGGCCTGCAGGCGGCCCGCCGCGCAGGCAGAAGCGAGAAGCTCACGTGCCTATGATCTACTCGCCGCGCGTACCCAAGGGCGGGTGCGTTGTGGGCAAGCCCCCGGCGGGGCCGACGTACGACATGATAGGATGCGGATTGGCGACGGCGACCGCGTCGCCGGTGTCGCCTTGGGGCAGGGAAAAGGAGGGCTCGCGTGTGGGGCAGTGGGCCTTCTGCTCTCCCGACGATGTGGGGGGCGCGATTGTGGCCGGGGCAGGGCCTGGGCCGCATTTGGCACATTCCCATGTGGGCGAGCCCGACGATTTTGAAGTCGGAATGGCGAAGGAGAAGGCGGGAATGAGGTCGCAAGGGTTGGACGGGGGTGGGCAGGAGGCGGTCAAGTGCGTGAGGGCCGCCGGCCACGTCTGGGCGCCCGTGGCGGGGGAGTGGGAAGGCCGGGACTCGCCGAGATACAAGCGCCGGGAAGGAAAATCGAGGGATGCCCAGGGGGGGTTGAATCAGCGCGGGACGCGGCGCGCCGATGTCGCGTCCGCCATATGCGACCTCGGAGCCGAAAATGTTACAGAGCCGCCGGGCCTGCCGGCCGGCCGGACAGTGGCGCCGCCGGCGTCTTGGAGCTGGGTGAGCCAGGGGGGCGGGGAGAAGGCGGGGCTGGGAATGGACACGGAGGAGAAGCTGTTCATTTTGAGCGGGGAGCTCGAGGACTGGCTGGAGGGCGACGGGGACGGCATGGAGGGGGTGGACGAGTGAATGGGGGAAACGGACGACGAACAGGTGACGCTGAAACATTGTTTTGGAGAAAGTGGCACGAGGATTAGTACACCATGGTACTGTGGTACCGTCTGTGAGAGAACTTGTTGGGCAAGGCGCTTTCGGCCATTCGCGACAAGGTGCTCTATATCGTTCGTTAGTTACTTGCTCTATCTGAAGCTAGATTTCCTCTGTGCTAAAGAGACATATCACTGCAGAAACGGGATGTGCGTGTCGAAAAAATGAGAAAACGAAAGACAGGGTTCACGAATCCCTTGTCTTCTTCCATCGAGGAAACTATTGACCCCAACTTCTCTGGCCAAAACATGTGCATTCGCGTCACACATTTAGTAAGCATGCACGCGAGCGTGGGCTGTCTTGTACCTTGATGGGACAAGGCGAAGTCTTTGTTCCTGGTGTGGATAGTTTTGCATGTGGCTCTGTCTCCGCACTACAAAGGCGTGTTTTCCTTGCTATCATGAAAACGGCCGTTATCACAATAGAGTAGAACATTAGAGAATTCTGGCTGCAAATTTTATTCACAAATGCTACCAAGTTTCCAGTAAATGATGTATTGTCCTGATGTTCATATTGCATATTTCAAACTCATGGTCACAATTTTGAACAAAATTTCACGAATGGCGAAGCTTCTAAACTGGCCAAGTAGCGTGCTAGAATCGTAGAGGATAAAGTTGGGACAAGTGCGTGTTTTCTGAATCCTGTCCAATTATTAGGTAAAAATCCACATCCTGTTTCCAGAATTAAATGTCAATTCTTGAAGGCGCAACATCAATAGAGAGCCAAACGCCACATACAATGACATTATTGGAAAGTCCGGATCCTGAAATACTGGGTGCTATCCGATTCCCAACCAAATGCAGTGGAGTCCAAGCGAGTTTGCCCACCATTGAGACGACGTTGCAGGAGGTGTGAGCGAAATCCTTAGCATTTTCGACTCCACAGCTCGTGCCACGCGGGTTGAAAGTACTGCTGTGTCCACTGCGCTCATCTATTGTTTGCAATTTTGCTTGTGATGGTGGGCATACTCGTGGTAGGTGCCTTGTATTGACGTGCACATGATACAAGCACGGTCTGTAAGAACAGACAACATTTGCTCCCAGACAAAGGATGTGTATCTAGATATCTCTCTATTGGATGGCGATTCAACATTATTGAAAGAGCAAATGAAATGGCTTAGAATGGCCATATTTGCACCAGTGTGACAGCACTCTCGTCGTGAAATTTTCGCCGACACAACAACAACGGTTAAGATTTTGACCTTGCATGAACGCTATCATTGTCGACTTTTGGGTGCTTCTCTACTGTGTCCAGCATCTGAACGCTGCAATTATGCTGGCATGACTGCAGTTTGGCCAAACTGTGTGTGGAAGTGCATTTACTATTTCCGCGGCTATCCTGGCCTTTTCTGCAGCATGCTTTTTGCTCTGCCCACAGGGAGGTCAAAGTCTTTTTTCAATTTTTATGCCCTTTTTGCGAATGCGCATTTGAAAACTGATAGTGTTTTTAACAGCGGATATTAGCAGGTACACCAGTGGGCAACGCTCGAAGTTGTGTTTTAATCCTCCCCTAACAGAAAAATTGTTTCTCATTGGTGGGTATGCCTTTCTGTATGACAGCCCTGTTGTGCTTTACTTTGACTATCGACGGGGTTTTGTAAGTGCTCAAATATTATGCAACAAATCTCTTCCAAAGGACTGGAAAACATTGTCCTTGCTCAGAACACATGTGCGTTGTGTCCAGCGGTCACGTTCTTTTGCATGTCCACTGCAGGTTATGTCTCCTTGATGGCCATTGCATCGCCAATTCGATTGCAACGTCTTCGCCTGCGCCCTCGTGGCCCTGCACCGGGCATCGGGCGCTGGCACCACGTTGTGAGCTGAGCCGCTGCACATTCAATGTGCAATTTTTACTTTGGTGCTCAGTCAATGGTCATTGGGCGCCAATCTACTGGCACGGTGCTTTGCATGATTGCCAACATTCAATGGCGATGAGTGCACGTCCTGGGGGAGTGTAGGTGGAGCCGATTGGCTGGTCATCGCAGAAGAACCATCCCGAAATCCTTGCAGCAGTAGCAGCGACATCACAAGGACCCGGCAGGGCGCGGTGCGCATGAATAAAATGTGGTTGCTCTCGCGTTGGCCATGTACCCGTGTCGGCAACAGAAACTCTTTCTGATGATGGATCAAGTTTTGTTGTTTATCTTTTCTTATGAGGGTTTGTGGCAACTGAAGCTGCTCCCTTTGGCTGGAAACCTGTGTTGAAGCTGTGGTGAACAGACTTGTGTGGTGGCGGTCGAGATGAGTCGGTGGCTTGTGTTGCATATGCTAACATATGATAGCTATGGGTCTTCGTGGTGGTGTCAGAGGAAGACTCGGCTTTCCTAGGATTGCTCTGGTCAAGCCCTCCGCCTATCGCAATATGGTGATGAAAGGGGATGTAGTAGAATCCGTGCAAGGTGCGGCACGTGATCTCTGCCACATACCTTTGGCTGTGGCAGCCGCCAGCAATGGCAGACGTGTGAATGTTGGCAAGTTGCGGAGCAGGGTGGCACACTGTCTCGTGCGCAGCAAGGCGGACTTGATTCGCGGGTTCACCAATAGAAACACAACACTACACTCCACGACTTGGGGTTGAACAAGCGCCGTCGGCGCGTCTTGTGGATTTCTGATCGACGCCGAAAGTTGAAGAGTTGTATGATCGTGGTCCTTTGACTGGAAAAACTCCTTGAGGCCATGGAAATGGGAGGGTTGACGTATCGGAGCTGGGGCAATCATGGAGGGGCAGCGTGGTTGCCTTGTAAATTACTTAAGAGCAGATGCAGAGCCAGTAGGTTAGGCGACTGGACTGTACGTTCATGTGTGCATCCATTGCGAATCGAATGCTGTCAGGCTGCCCCCAACGGCACGTCCCAAGACTCACGGGGCAAACAGGCGGATCCCAAACGGCATCCTGTGCCTGCTCATGGCGAAGGGCAGCGGTGGTGGCTGTCTTGTCCGGACAGGTGGAAAAACTGGTGGTGGTCAGCCTGTGCATGATGTCAATGACATTTAGGGTCGCTACATATCACCAATTTTCCGACTGGTTGTATGTGGAGCTTATTGCGTTTGAGATAGGAAAAACCCACTGGAACCTTTTGAAGGCAGGTTGAACGCGGCGGTGACGATCAGCTGACTGTGCAACCCCTCGGGCTAGCCCGGGTCAACAGCGCTGTTGACCTGACGTGGCTGCCACCCGAAGAGGGGATACGCAAAATGGTCCTAATAGGCTTGAAAATCTGTGGAATTCTCAAGACCGGTTCCAATGTAGGATGTTGATGGGGGAGGGGAAAGCTCGGAGGGCTTGAGCGTGGGAATGGCGCGTGCTAGTGGCCATTGTTTGCTGGGACGTGACGAATCAACCGAACACCAAAGGGAATACTCACTAATACGGGACAAGCGAAATGTCGTGCACCTGGCTATCTCTGGTGGATGGATGCGCGAACCTGCTCTCGCCGAGGCAAGACCTAGATTTCGAAGAGCTATCCTTTTTGAGGTTTCGGTCTGCGCATTGCACAGCGCAAGAGAAATAATGTATCACTGCTGTGCGCAGTTGCCTTTGGGTCGTTGTGACCTCCGTTGCCGACATTACCACCTTGGTTATGATGCTTGCAGGAGCCCAAGGGCGGCTTGTGCGAAAGCGCCAACCGCGTGGGCAGAAGTTCTCTAATGATTCGGCCCCTTCAACAACGGCACCGGTGTGAGTTTGAAGTCATCAGTGTTAACGGATTCAATCCATTGCCCTTCGGCTGCTGTTCGCATGCGGGAAGTAGTTTCCGGAAATTACTCCGCGTTGTAGTGCGCACTACAATTTCACTGCGCAGTGGCCAGCGGCGGTGTCGCTCCTACAAGCATGAGCTTCGCTGCCATTGCCGCCATCTCGCACAAGACTTGCCGCTGGCAGGCTGTGATTTAGCAGGAAATAATGTTGGCGCAAATCGACCATGTCTACCTAAGGTTCTCATACACGCAAGCTTGAAATGATGTGTCAACCAGTTGCCCGCATGTTGACCGGCATGTACGCACGCCAATTGTGCAACTACGGTTGTCGACGATTGCACAGTCGTTGCCGATGAGCTCGCGACAGTATTGACTACAGTATGCCATCAGAATCAGCCGCATAAAATGGTGTCTGCTTCAATGTAGGGAGTCTCAAAATACAAGGATGTGGATAAATGTGAAGTCGACCAGTGCCAAATTGTCATTGCCGACGATCTCCCGACAGTATTGACCATGCATGTCATATATTGACTACCAGGATGTGGGCAATATAAATGCGAACAGGGCCAACAGCGCTTCAGAATACAGTACATCGATTGCCTTGAGAGAAATTAACTATCCTGTTAATGGGTTTCTGCCAAGGGAGACGACGGGTGGGCTGTGCTGGGTGATTCAAAGGCGCAGCTTGAACCTGGCGCTCACTTAAACCCCGTTTCTTGGGATTTCTTGCCACCCTATTACTGTGGGTTAGTCAAAATACGAAAATGCGAGGTGCCACCAACCTTGGCACCCTTAAGGTTTGGAGGGATTTGGCGGGGCTGAGTGGGGGCGGCTATTTTGGCTCCCCACGTCGGGTCCCCTCCTTATCTTGTTTTGCTTTGCGCCACTTCGTTGGCGCAACCCAAAGGCACCAAGTGCCTCGCCATCCCCGGCTGTTTCTAGGCCAAGTTTTTTCAATGAACCGCACGCTGGTCGAGCGGCGGTTGTACGACCCAGTGGTTTGGTTCAATGACGGTCCATCTATGGCTTCTGTGGATGCTGTCTGTCTGCCCGACCCCCAGTTGTTACATCAGCCGGTCACCAACCCGGTGGTCCGGCCGCCGAGGGTGTGGTGGCTTGAGTGGCTCAATATCCCCCGGACCTCTGAAGGTGGGCAGCTCACGCAAGCGCTTGGTTGAACTCTGGCTACTTCCAAGAGCACCAAAATTGGGCGCCCTAAGTTTC